CTATCTGCCCCAATAACATCAACCACTGAAATGACCTCATTGCCTGCTGCAACCTGATCCTCTTACGGGATTGTCCCTCCTCTCCCTCAGTGGAGTCACTTCCTCTGAGCACTGTTCTCTGGCAGCACACGTTACGCGTGTTACGTGTGAGATAAGTTGTGCCTGCCTTTTGCTCTTCCCTCCCTCTGGTGTGTTTTTCTCTTTTGGAATGTATCAGACAGCCCCGAAGGGCTCTGCAGTTGCAAGACATGAAGGGAAGTACTGGAAAGAGGCCATGAACAAGGGGAAGAATTTCAGGCTGCAGCCAATCAGACTAAAGCTTGTCCAACTCTGTCAGGGTTTACACAGCAGTGTCTGGCTGTTGTTTTGATGGTACAGTGTGATTATTTACACGTAGAGAAAGGGGTTTGGGAGATGATATGACTCAGCAGATGTTGGAATGAGTGCACACCCTTAACGGTTTAGTGGTTTGCAAGTGAGTTGCCTCATGCAGTACTGTAGCCATTGGGAATGAAAAGGGATCATGATTTTCAGGGCCCACAGCTGAAGTGGGCCCACAAAAGTTCCAATAAGATGATGAATTGTTTAAGAAGGGGCCCAGAAAAAAGTTATTTTAGTTGGTCCAACCAGCGTACAGCTTCTCCGCTCTTCAGAATGTACTGATTTTCTTTGTCTTACTTGATAGGAACTTGAAAATCTGAGAGTTGGTCGCTGGACAAAGCAAACAATTTGAAGATGCTACCTTTGGCTCTCAGAGATTGGGATGGACATTTCACAATTTTTGAGGTTTCACATACCAAGCAATTAATTAGTTAACAAATGAATTGAGAAAATTATCAAAAAATGTATTCACATCTAAAAGAATTGTTAATTGCAGCCCTAATTGTCACAAAGCTCTGCTGCACAAGACAATAAAATCAAAGTGTAATACAATGTATCTCTCAATCTATATACAGAAATCTACATTAAAAACAAGCTGAGCTGAGCTAGCTCCTCTAAACTACCACCAGAGATGAAGTAGTGACACATACACTACTGCTGAGTATGGAAAGTCCACGGAAATGACTAAACATTTGAGCTGTGTACTGACTAGTAACCCACTGCAGTTGCTGGTTTATTACCCAATCTGAAAGGAGATTCTAAGAATTTAAAAATTATTATTTTCAAAATGCTTTGTTATACATGGTTATGCAACAGGAGCAAAGTGCAAAGAAAGAATACAAAGTTTTCAGAAGAACAACTGGAACAAAGTTGGGACAAAACAAAGTCTGTTGCAAAATCCTTGGTAACTCTTTCTGTGTTAAAGGAATTTTGCTGGATATTGGATTAATTCCAGCACTCCAGTAAATTGTCTGTGCCCTGTAATACCTAAAGCACATACATTTTTGCCAAAGGTTGGGTTTGAGTCTATCCACAACTGCAGGCTACTTTCTTCTTCGAAGTTTGCCCGGGGATGGTTTCTTAGAAAAAGAACATTCAGCACACTGGGGCACTGTGACCTTCGTACTTGAGAAAAGTATGTAACTTATTGTAACAGTGTAAGACTGCTGGCTGCTTTTAGCAAACTTATCTTCTTAGCCTTTGACAGTTTTATTTGGACTTGCCAGACCTGCATTTCATGTATACATTTACATATCTGTACTTATTCATGTGCACAGATACATATAGCGTGTAGTACTGTACTGTTTATACTAGATAGTATAGGAATGTTTTTGCAACATATCCTGCTGGTTTACACAAACTGTACCCGAGGTAACTTTCCAAACATCAATCAAAATGACTTGTTCTTGCCATAGATAAAGCATATAGCTTTGTGCCTTTTGTAATGCTCATAGCGCTGGAGACTTTGACTGTTTTTATGCAGCAGAGTTTAAAGGGGGTTATGTTAATGCTGTAAACATAAAATGTTCCCCTTAAGTAGTTTTAGGGTTGGAAAAATCATCTAGACTTTATGACATACACACTAAATTTTCTATTGTTTTGTTGCCGCTCTTAGTTGAAATCATGATGTTTACACTGAGTGAAATTTTTATACCCAAGGCTATTATATATTATTTGTTTTTTATGGCTGCACCACTGAATGAAATACACATATTTAAACAATATTATCATTTCCCCCAAATTCAGCCTGACATATGTGGTATCTTGGGACAATCTGGGACCTCCACTAGAATATAACGTGAAATGAATTTGAATAATGTTTGGCTGCTTAGAATAACTTACAGTATATAACCAATGCATTTAGAAACATTTGTGAGGCCATTTAGAAAAAGAAGAGTTTCAGTGCAGCCAGTACAGTCAAGGAGTAATGCGTTGTCTATCGGATACACAGGCAATGATGCAAGAACACAGTACTGTGCCTGATCTACATCTACAGCTGTATCTCCAGACAGCAACAGGATATTGTAGAAGAATCTGAACTGCAGTTGTCATCATGAAACACAACAACAACAACAACAACAACAACAGAGACACACCTCTGTTATCATATTTCAGACTGAAATAACCTCAGCCTGAAAAGAGAACCCCCTCCTGAGCACCTCCTGATTGAGACCTTTTGCATCAGAAATGGGGTTGTTGCCACCTGAAGTTATTTATGATGGCCTATCCCTTTTCCTTTTGACCTGTAGTGACACAGACCCACCCCCCTGCACTTCGACGTGTGATCTTGTTTTCCTACTAAAACCTTCGACTACACCATGTGCTCCTGGCTAGGCATAGTCTGCCAACAGCTTGCGTAATGTTTGCTACCTTTGGGCTTATGTTTGAGGGGCAGAAGGTGAAAGGAGGAGGAGAGGCAGAAAGCTTCCAGTCACAAGACAGCCAACTCATGCAAACAAACCTTACATGGTTTTATCTAAGACACCCTTGATAAACAATACATTAATGCTTATAAAGAGCAGATCTATAGACTAGGGATTATATATAGTGATAAATAACCATTGACAGAGCAAATAGCATGAGGACATACAGTTAGACAGCAAAGCACATGGCATAATAAAGCATGTAGACTTTGTATTGAATGCAACACAAGATTTTCTATCACTAATATCTGGATTTAATTAAAGGGATGCATGTAAAAGAACAATAATATAAGATAACAAAGGGATCTAACACCGCTCTACTGTGCCTCTGTCAAAAATACCTTCGCCTTTAATCTTGGAACATGTCATGTCTGCGGCATCTCACAATTAGCAGATAGGTTAAGAGAGGACACATTTCTATATAATCAGAGTTCTTGGATTTCTTTCATTATCACAACCATGAGACAGTGTCTCCACCCATGTCTGAACAGCCTCCTCATCAGGCTCCAAAACGTGCTGTGTCTGCCTTGTCATACATCACAAAAGGTGGGGGCTGCAACTGGCCATTGCACACACCTTCCCTGTCAATTACGATACCTCGTATCCAAGTAATTACTGTGCATTGTGTGAATGAATTTGTCTTATTTGAGTACATCGTGCATCCATACATTTTAAATCCAGAAATATATTGAAGTCATCTTAAAAGTTTATTTTAAAAACTTTCAAAATTGCTGAATTTCCTCAAACCAAAATAGACTTTAAAGTTAGTCTGAAAAAAATCCAAATATAGGAGATTATTTTCTACCTCTACTCAAATACCACACTTAGGTACAGTTTGGAAGTATGTGTGCATTTTATGCTACTTTATACTTATACGCCACTACATTTCAGAGGTAAATGTTGTATGTTTCACTCCACTACATTAATCTGACAGATGTACCTGCTTGCAGTGTCTGTCTTTATCTGTAGTTACTGGTTTCTTTTAAGACTAAAGTTTTATACACAAAACAGTATAACGTAGAAAAAAAAACATTTACTTCAACCAGCCACATCAAAAAACTGCTCAATTAATGAATCAGCAACAATAATCCAGTAGTGTTATATACAGTAAAACTGACAGGAGTGAGTCTGCCTGCATTACGAATCCTTTGACTGTTACTGTTACTTTTATTTTGATGCTCACATTTTTCACTTAAACTAAAGTACATCTTTGAGTGCTGGACTTTTAAATGAAGTGAAGTAAACTGAAGTAAAGCATCTAAATGCAATTGGCTCTATCTGTACATTACATTGCATGAGAGCATATGCGTCAGTGTGTTTGTGTATGTGATTCTGAAATGCCGCAGCAGCTGAAGTCATGTCACTGCCCCACTGTGTGACAAAAGCTGCATGCAGTGACTCAGACGGGGATTTCTTTGAACACCCATCTGGCCACGGCCATTCATCGCTGGGTGTGAGAGTAAAGTTTAGGGCATTGTAAATGCAAATTTTTCCATTTCTGAGACGCACAAAGAGGGAGAGGAGTGGTGTATGTCTGCTTCCATTCTTTGCTTATATAGCACAAAGCTGACCAATTGTTGTTTTATGCATGGCTCTTATTTATAATGCGGCACTGGCATGTGGTGACAGCAGCAGAGGCAATTATTATGATTACATCGCCGTCATACTGTAAACTGGTGGATCTGGTCTGTCAAACTCTGGTCTATCCCTCACCATCTCTACTGAGATCCTCGCGTCTCTTTCATCAGAACAGCCGCAGGTGCTGATTGTGCCAGTGTGCACGTACTCGCCATTTCGACTTCTCCATAGTCCCATTGCGGGGCCTCTGAAACAAAACAGAGCTGGATGGCCACGTACCATTTTGTGTTCTCTACCAATTTTATTTCGTTGGACTTTTCCTAAAATCTGTTATTTTAATCAAAGACGATATCAAACTGAACCCCGTCAAGTTATCTCTTATTTTAAGTCTTCTGTACAATGTCGAACAGCTGTTTGTGCCGCTTACCTTGAAAAGTGGTAAAGTGTGTAGTTGTAAGACGAAATGGTACCTTGCCATTACGTCTTTTTCTAGAAAGCACGTGATCCATCCTGTCTGTTGATGCAGTCCGGAGGGGGGAGGAGACGAGGAGGAGTCAGTCGGGAGGTTATAAAACCACCTACGCCGTTCCTTCTTCGCCACCTTCCACGCACTTACTATCAGGCGTTTCCCCCCCTCGACCGTCCTCTGCGGCTGTTGTAGCAGTGGGTCAAACAACGACGCTAACACTGGAGCTGTAAAATTACCAACGGGGTGAGTGAAAACAAAATAGATTTGGATAGCAGTTGGACATAATTTTTCTAGTAATATCGATAGGGTGGATGTAACCGTCTTTTTTCTCTCACAACACTAAAGTAATGTTACAATATTGACTGTAGCTAACCGTTGTTGTCAGACGTTCAGCATAAAGCTGTCATAACCGTCAGCTCACGAGTGCTCGCGGGTTGACCGTTATAACTGCAGAGCATGTGAATGTTAGCTAAACAAATGTTAGCCTCCCTGCGCCTATTGTAATCTTCGCCGTTTAAACCGAATCCAGCGTGGCTATCCGAGAGATTTGCTTATCTTATCCAAAGTGTAGTATTGTGATGACTTTCTCTGTTGTATCCTCTAAACTTGGCTTTTTAAAATGGCAACAAATAACCTAACAGTCAAGCTAAAAGTGGGTGGCGTTGTGGTTAGCTGTTGATTGTTTTTATTACCTCGTGAACATGTGACGAACATTAGCTAATCTGCTATTGTTGGGGTTGATTGCTTTTCTGGTAATTAATTTCAGATAGAATGTACTAGACTGCTTGAGATTGCAAGTAACTAGCCATTTCCCACTACTAATTTCTAATGTGGGTTGTGGCGCTGCGGTGTTTTGTGTTGTCCACAGGGCTCCCGTTTAAAGCGCCGCAGCAAGCTGACCAGCCAGCGCAGTGTGATCACTTGCGACTCTCTCTGAAACGACTTTCTGTTTCGGAGAAGTGCAAATTGATATCCCAAAACCACTGCCGCCGCACATCCACCAAAAAGAAAAAACCCACCCCAAATCGAAGCAAAATGGTGCAAAATAAGATCACCGAAGTCACTGGATTCCACCGCTCTTTCAAGGTGAGATTTGTTGAGGGTAAAATGCAGTGCTGCTGTCACGCCTTTGGTGAAGTCTCTATAATCAGGCCACATTTCTCAGCATGTATGCCAAAGGACTTTACCTTGCTATATATAAATACATCTGTTGCTCTCCCACATCATATGGCTGATAAACAAACCATGTGGCCTGCTGACACATGTATGTAGAGCTAATGGAAATATGACTTGAGAACATGATAGCTAAGTTTTTAAGATCTGCAAAAAAATGTGGCCTTTGCAATCACTTCTTCTATGCATATATTCTATTAGGATAGACTTGTATGGCTGTAGGTGTTTGGATTACTTGGTAGCTGTGTACCACATATTCATTGTTTAAAAAGTTTCTACCTTTTGCTGCTGTTTGAGTCTAATTTCGGTTCATGGTTGCACGGTGGGAGATAAAGGCCCCTATTATCAGTTATGACAAACAACTGATGCTCTCAGCTAAATAGTTCATTAAGAAGATTGCATACCTTAACAAGCATATTTGTTGTTACCACCTAGGGCCAAAATCCTTTTGAATCAGAGGACTTCACTAAAAATGGATCCCATCTTATTGATTCATCATTTAATTTTGATTCCTCCTCAAGACATGGTGAGTATTTTAACTGTTTTTTTTTTTAACTAACTTGTGTCTAGTGAATGTAATCCATAATGCTTTTATGGCAACAAAACGGACCTAATTAATTAATTAACATTGAGGCTTGTTTCTCCAATTTGGCAGAAATTTACTGTTTATTTTCAACAAAAATCTGGGATTGCCCTCAGATTTTTGTTTTCCTTTTTAGTGCTTTCTTAAAGTTTGTTTGGGTTCTTCCCTCACTAGCACATTTATAATGTGGGCGCATCTTTTTCACAGACATGCCTTCCAGCCAGCCTATTGACATCCCCGATGCCAAGAAGAGAAATAAGAAGAAAAAGCGTTGCCGGGCAACTGACAGTTTCTCTGGAAGATTCGAGGGTAAAGGGTTTTTGCTGTAATTCTTAATAGACCATTATCTATATTAACTAGTGGGATTCTTCCTTTTTTAACATGATTTGAATTTTGCATATTCCTAACCTGTTAAACTCTGCCACAGATGTGTATAGACTGCAAGAAGAGGTACTAGGAGAGGGCGCTTATGCCAGAGTGCAAACATGTATCAATCTCATCACCAACAAAGAGTATGCTGTCAAGGTAACACATTCTTACACACTTAATGAATGACTGTAATATATTTGGAGAAAAAATATTAATAATGCACGGAATCTTGATTCCTACAAGTCAGTGCACCTCTCTCACAAGTTTGCGAATGTCGTTGTTGCCACTGAGCACCTGCGTGCTGTCTGTGTGGGCTACAGTGGCTAGTGATCAATATAGAGATGATACATTTCTTGGACCATGCTTGGAAATGTACATTGCATAATGAAAAGCCTATGTACACAGAAGGGCCCTGTGCCATTATATGCTGTTGAAGAGTTATATGGAAGAAAGCTAGGTTATGGAATGTCTGTCATTGTGTCCATGCAGCCCTCTGTTCACAGGCAGTTCTTTAGAAATCTTGTTGAGGAAATTTCTGGTCCTGGGGCAGGATATGTCTTTTTTTTTTTTTTTTTTTTTTTTTTCCCCTCAGTTCAGCTCTCTGTAGAGGATGTTTGCAGGCTGCATCTGTGTTGAGCTTTTTCCTTTTTTTTCTGAGTGTGCAACACTAGCTGCTGTTAGCAGGCTCTTCCCCTCACTGTTTTTATAGTTTGTCAGCCTATCAGAAGGCTGGGAGGGATATACCCACCCCTTTTCTTTACTCCTATTGCCTACAGAGGACGCTGGTAGTGAGAACATTGTGTACTGGCAACTGTGCCAAAACAAAAACCCACATAGAGAGGAAGGAGGGGTTGCTGGGTGAGGGTTGTGACCTAGGGTGTTTACACTGCTTTGTTCTCCTTCTTGCTCAGTACAGTTTTACTTTTTTCTTTTTCCTCTCCAAATGCGGTGTGGACTTGTAAATACATGTCTTGACTCCTGGTGACTTCCTTTTTTGCTTTTATATATAATGCTTATTTCCTCATTTTTAGGAACAAAACATTGTGAAATATTTTTCTTTGCTGAAGTGTAGCAAAGTGCAACAAGAGCTTGTTTTACCTATTGTAAGTTCTTGGCCCTTAAGCCACAAATCCCACTAGGACACTGGACATAAACACCCATTTATCTTTTTACTCCCAATTAATCCCTGCTTTCTGTTTAATTTCTGCTAAAGTTTGAAGCAAACTGTTGACTGTTGAAGGCTTGTTCCCCACAGCACAAGTGTCCATATCATACCAATTAATATTTCAGAGGAATTGGAGGACAGATTCTCTCATGTGACCAGAATCTGTTGGTATTGTTTACCCTGGGATGGTTTGGTAGATCCCTTGGGACTTTGCAGGTCTGGGGGAGGAGACACGAGGGTCTGCAGTTATTGGAGGTCATTTGGGAGTCGGGAGGGGGCTCAGACTGCTCTTGCCAGATGTCCTGTCTATCCCCTCCCCCTCCAGACAGGAGTGAGTTGGATGTGTGGGCCCCTTGTGTTGCAATTGCAACAAAAGCCTCAGCAGCAAGGACGCACATAAATCTGTGCAGTGCATGCCTATCTGAAGGTTTCCTAACAATAATTTGCCATAAAGGTATTATTTCACAACCCTGAGTTGATGTTTGAACCTCCAATGTGGCTTAGTGACTTGTTTTGCAATAGACTACTGTGCTTCTGATCTGTGATTTTGAGAAACAACCATAAATCTAGCACCTCGTAAATAACTGTCCACCTACTTAACATGTTGATAATGCATTTTCCAACTATGTTTTACAGTTTCTTCTTTATCTGCATGTCATTATCAGGGTGGGAGGTTGTGTTGTGATCAGGAGAAAGTGAGCTGATTGGGGGTTGTTTGTGCTGCTGACTCAGACTGGAACAGTGCAGAGGCTTTGGACTGCTCACAGGCCTCTTGTCTGTCCATTAATCCTAGACACACACTGCAACTCTGGCCCCACTGGGCTTCAATAGCAGCTGTAATCCAGCTACCAGGAAGAGAAACACGCACAGCCTCCCAAGCAGACAATAACTGACCACGGCTGGAAAATTCAGGCCTTTTGCTTTGGTGTCAGCAGTCTATCTTTCTGTCTCTTTTGGCAGGGCATCGTGCAGCTGGTGGCCCCTCGGTGGTTTATTTCCAGGCAGCAAGTTATATTTAGAGAGCATTTTTTGTTATCGTAAACAGTTTTGGATTAGCTCATGGGATGTTTCAAAGGAATACTTAATGGCTCCTTAAAAGCACTTAAGATTTACATATAAGATTTACAATATAGAGATGCTGTGACTGTGATTCTCATTCTCTTATGTCCCTGCTTTGGCAGGCAGCACTGAAAGTAGGTTAAACTGTACTTGCAACTGTGTCACAGGGTGGGATAAATGCTGGCAAGCAGGGAAAATTCAAGTTTGGTCTGGAGGGTAACCAGTTATAGGGCACTGTGTATATATATATATATATATATATATATATATATATATATATATATATATATATAATCTGGGCTATACCGCCTGCTCTACAGTAAACATGGCCACTAATGGGGTTTTGTGGTGCAGTGTGAAGGGGTGGCCTTCACTCAAATATTAACTCGCATATGGGCTCAGTTTTTCTTCAGCCATCAGAGCACTAACAGAATTGTCCTCCAGCCTACTGCTGTGGAAAATATGACCGTTACAGACTCATTTGTTTAGTGGTCTATTTTTAGATAATGTGGCTCAACCTTTACATTGTTCTGTTCCAGATCATTGAGAAAAGACCAGGCCACAGCCGCAGCCGTGTCTTCCGTGAGGTTGAAATGCTCTACCAGTGCCAGGGCCATAGGTAATGTCCTTCTGTCATGACCAGCTAAACATAATGCCACCTGATGAATTTATGGAGACGGTACTGCAGACTGAGTGACCCAATTTGTGGTGCATCTTATTAGTCCTCTTAGTCTATAGTGCAGAAATCACAGGGAATTTTCAGTCAGCGAGTTTTGGAGGACATGGTTACCACTGGCTTATAGCGCTTTTTTCTTTTCTGAAGGAACATCCTAGAGCTGGTGGAGTTCTTTGAGGAGGAAGACAAATTCTACCTGGTGTTTGAAAAGCTCAGAGGAGGTAAGTGAATTATAGCTGCTGCAGGAAGCCCACATCAGATCCTTTTTGTTATTTGTGAACATTCCTATATTGCATGATCCCTGTCTCTGGGCTGTAGCCAGTTGTTTCTGTTTGTGTGAGACTTGTAAACAGAGCTGATATACCCCCCCCCCCTTTAGGGTCGGTCTTGGCACACATTCACAAGAGGCAGCACTTCAGTGAGCAGGAAGCCAGTGTTGTCGTGCAGGACATCGCCAGCGCTCTAGATTTCTTGCATAACAAGGGTAAGACCACTTGTACAAAATGGCAAGCAATTTAATCACTTTTAATGATCACCAAAAAGGCCCAACAACCCCACTGGTATGTGTACCATGAAATGGGTTTTGATACAGCAGTTAGGAACTGATATTATACATTACAATAGCTAAAATGGGGCATATTCACATTATTATTTAGATTGCCCAAAAGACACTAGACCATATTTTTACATGTCTTTACACTGGTGAAAATGTCTGACTTTGTTTTCTTTTAAGTTGATATGATAGAAAAATACATTTTCCTTCATCCCAACAATATGGCCTTATCTTACTAATGAAGAAAAGTGATTGATGGATTGCTTTCATTATTTCCTAGGAATGGCACATAGAGACCTGAAACCTGAAAACATTCTCTGTGAGAGTGCAGACAAGGTGAGTTAACTGCAAACATGTTTGAGCTCAAATGGTTCAAAGGACAACAAATGTAGTGATAAAGTGTGATACATTACTCTTAAGATTGTGATATGAACCTTGGTAATGATAAAAGACAGTGCAAATATCTGGTCCCACATGTAAATATTCCATACATATTATACAGAATTAAAAGATTAATTTGAATCATTCTGAACTTCTATATCTTTACCAGATTTCCCCGGTCAAGATCTGTGATTTTGACTTGGGCAGTGGGATCAAGCTGAACAGTGACAGCTCACCCATCTCCACCCCTGAGCTCCTCACTCCTGTAAGTCCAGCTGCTCATTATGCTTGTCTTGTTTGCCATACAATTTTGAAAACTTTTATTAATGGGGAAAATAGAAAATTGCTACTGAAGGGAAATGTATGCTTGAAATATACAAGTACACCTATTCAAAGTTTGGAAGAGGATAATCTGTCATATGGTCTGAATCACATTTCCCTATACAGCGATTTGTTTCCTTGTTGTGGATAAGAAAGATGTTTTCGGCTGTAAAATGTTTTATCAATCATCCAGTCGGCTGCTTAACTATTGGGCAGTCCTCAGTGGTGTTAGCTGCAGGCCAGCTCGCTGATTGGAAGAGAAAATGCTGTGTTTTGAGGTTAAGGTAGTTCAGTGTTGGACAGTTTCTCTGAAATGATGCCATGGATTGCTTCCTGAATGTCCCTGCCTGGCAGCATTTACCCTCCCTTATCATGTTGAAGTATGAGCAACGATAGATATCCCTCAGTTTAATGACCATGTCCTGTTGCTTATCAGTCGCAAATATGAGTTTGGGGGGTTATGGCTGTTTAACCCTCCTGCTGTCGTCACAACACAAAGCAAATCCTCTGAACAGTGCCCAGTAAAATGGAACATTTGCAACCTTAAAGAGGAATGGTAAAGTTGAACTGGCAAGCTTTCCACTTGTGTCAACACATACTCTGTCTGTTGGTTGTCTGGGGGGGCTGGACAGATGGATCAGAGCAGGTGAAGGATAGTGGTTTAGCCTGCAGGAATGTGGCGGATGGGTAGGGGGTTTTCTACACTGGTAACTTCATCTTCCTCTAGCAGAACTAATGGACAGAGAGCCCATCCCTGGACTATTTGAAGGGGAGATAGTTTTGGGGCCAAGTGGCCTCACGTGTTTGACTACATGGATTTCAAAGCTGGGCCTGAATGATTGTCTGTTTGGTGCAGTGGGGTGTTCCTATTAGTTTGTCTTCATGTTTTCATAATTATTAAATGGCCAGTTTTTGCACATAACCACATGACTTGAACCAATACAAGGATTTTCAGTGGAAGAAAAGTTGATCCCCGAGGACAAGACACAATGTGATAGCCTTGGAATGTAATAAGGCTGCAGGGAACACATTGTGACTTTTGCTAGGTCTGTGTCCTATGGTATGAAGAAGTTACAATGAAACCAAAACACACAAACCCATTTCCCTTTTTCTCTCTGTGGTATGAGAGAGAAAAACATCCACCCTCTCTCTGTTTAGTCTCCGCCCAGTGGCCCCAACCATGGCTTGTGCTGGTCTGCGCTTTCTTTATGTTCTTTATACAAAGGCTGTGCATAAGGTTTGTTCTAGAAATTTTAGTCCCCCCCCCCCCCCCCCCCCAACACACACACACCACACCTAGCAACTGAGATGTGATTGGCTAAACAGTGGGAGGGGAGGGTAACTGGGAGGGACAAATACCAGGCTGCTCATGCGCTCTGGCTTGTTTTCTTTGCCTTGATCACAGGAACAATGTTATCTGATTTTCATCTCACTATTGGCACTTCTCACCCTGCCCCTCATTTGCCACATTCCTACAGTTGCTGTTGCACAATATAATGTGGTTGCGCATTTATTGCTCAGTTCCTGATCCCATTGAATCAACTTTATCGAAGGGCTGTAACAAATGTTTACTGTGAATGTGTTTTGTGCTCTCCAGTATAAGCACAGGAATGCAGGGAACGGGAGAAGGACTTTTCTAGAAACGGCTAATTTTAGTTTACTAAGAACACTGCACAAGTGACTGCCTGCCCATCTGCTCGGCATGAAATAAATCTGACTGTTCAAATGTCAATGCTCATGTGCAGCAGTAGTGAACTGGATGGAACTGCACACACGAAGACACTCCACACCAGCAGCTTAGACAGTTAAAGAAGAATTAAAGAACCGCATCAGTTATTTGTTCATGTCACAGATGCAGGTACAGCTGTATAATGACAGAACAGGTCCCTTCCTCTAAGCCTCTTCAGATAATCCTGTAGTTGACAAACAGCAGAGGTGTGCGTCATCAGTGCTGTCTATATGGTCTGACTAGTCACATGGTTTCAGGAAAGCCCAGGTTGCAATACCAACCAACCCTGTGATAACAGCAGCTGATTAGCTAACTATCTGCATCTTACAGGAAGGTTTGAGGAGGATGTGACTGATGCAAGTGCAACAAGGTGTTTTGCAACAGCAGCACAGGAAGAACAAATGTTGAGTTTAATTTGAGGCTGTGCCAGAACCATGATTGGCTGTTTACCCCTCTCTTTTTTTTTTTTCTTTTTTTTTTTCTCTCAGCTCTTATTGGTGACAGTTGCAGCCAGTCCTGGACAGGCCTCTTAATCTTGAATTGTCTTTTTGATTGGCAGTGTGTTTTGGTGGCTTTTAAACAAGATTAGCCGGATAGCTGTTTTTTTGATAGCACAAGCTATTAAATTGGCATTTCAGTTTTTAGGGCACCTTGGTAGGCAAAAATATCCTTGTGCTTGTGTCTTTTTATTTGTCTGTGTTGGCAGCAGTATTTGGCCTGAATCCTGTAAGCTTGTCTGTGGAGGCAGTCGCCCCAGACACGATGTTGTTGGTGGAAATGTGGGGGTTGGGTTTTCTCTCCGACTGAAGCAGCTTTGTCTGAGATTCCTGTGCAGCAAATTTCATTACATAAGGGTGCAGTGGGGGTGGAGGTGGAGTTAGGAGACCAGCTGGGATATTAGCACTGGAACACAATAGATGCTTGCTCAATGTAAACATGCACCTCCACAGATGAAAGAAGGATATAGGCCAGAGGGGTTTGTCAGGATGCAGGTTTTAACAAATATTTTCAAAATGTGCATTGCTGTATAACATAGTTTTAAAAATAATTTAATAATAATATAATAATAAATCAAAGGATGGATGAATGAACAGGTTATTCTCAGAGCAGGTTCTCAGAATTTATACCAGATGCTGTCTGTTAGGACACCTCTACACATTTCAAAGAATCCCAATCTTGAAGTGAAACAGGGGTTCACTTCATATGTATAAATGTTATTTTTAAGTTATATAGAATTAAGGCAGCATTAAAATGTCTAATCCAATATCTGTTA